TGCCTCGACAAAACACATAACTCAAGCTATCTTATGCATCAAAGCATACGAGGTAGATGTCAAGGGTTCCAGTGTCCAATGTGCGCATATCATATGAGTTATTCACAACATCAAACGACCGCAAAACAGGAGTACGAAGTTTTTCTTGGGATAGGTGGCTGTTGCTATGGTTATGGTCATCAATTCTGTGATTGGTGTGATTTAGTTGAGTGGACTAAGTACAATTGACTGCTTCAACTCTCTGATTACAGGTGTCCGATTACAGCCAACTGTCTGATTACAACTCCACAGAGTAATTGGTGAAAAATAGAGCAGTCATAGTGCACCGGCCACTTTGAGGAAATTGTAATGGTTATCATTATCTCTACAGTCGTTATTGCCCAAATATAATTACCAACAAGAGAACATTTTCAAATAAGGAGGTTACTCACAACATTCCCCAGAAGAGATCTCTCACCATTCCACATCTCCAAAATCAGGCAGCCGGTTTTCTGGATATCAACTGAGGTTGTAACTCCCTGCAGCTGGAAGAAAGGGGCACTTCTGTTATTAAAATTGAGCTGTTGTTTCATTTGGTTCTAAAAGACCACATTTTCGTACCCATTACAGGTGTGTACTGGAAAACAGAGTTTTATCAACATTCAACAAGGTTATAAGCCCAATAAACCAATAAAAAAGCACAGCCTTTTATTTTTTATGCAATAGCTGTGAGTTGATTGGTCAATATATCCTAGATTTATGAAATTCATATATTTGCACTGCGGTAAAGAAACAAAATTAAGAGATCCTCGCAGCTAAGAACACTACTGAACTAGTAGTTGAAAATAGGACCTGAAAAAAAATTAAGGCCCATACGGGATTTGAACCCATGACCTCTGCAATACCAGTGCAGTGCTCTACCAATTGGCTTGTTAGCTCAGTTGGTAGAGCGCTGCACTGGTATCACAGAGGTCATGGGTCCAATTCCTGCACAGGCCTGAATTTTTTTCAAGTCCTATTTTCAACTACTAGTTCAGTAGTGTTCTTAGCTGCAAGGATCTCTTAATTTCATACCATAGATTTCTTACCAATAGGAGCGCATGTAGTATCTAAATACCAAATTTGCATGATAAGCTGTGTGTTTGGTGGTATGGAGTGACATCTATTTGCCTGTTAATTTAGCTTAGTGTTTTGCTTCCCAACTTTTCTTGTCACTTTCACTTACCCCTATTCTCTTCACAGCTCCAAAGTCTGCTAGTTTGGCTTATAGATGCCATTTGTCCAGGAGAACGTTATCTCCTGTAAGAAAAAAACATGCACAATTTATCTCCTACAAGCACTTTTTTCCTGCTTGACTTCTGCATAAAGGATGAAAAGAGAGTGGGGAAGGACAATGGAAAAGGGTCTTTTGGTGAAGTCATCAGACTCCTCTGAACTCCACTTTTAATGAAGGCACTTATTCCAGGTTGCCGGCCGACATACCGTAAATAAGCAAATAAAAAGGCCCACGCAATACCTTTAACATCTCTGTGAACTATCCCTCTCTGATGTACGAAATCAAGGCCATTCAGAATATCGTTTAAATATGGAAGGATATGTAATTCCCTGATGATTGGAGGAGGTCGTCCCTTCTTATTCTTAATCAAATCACCGATGGTCCCACCTGATGAGTGTTTCAAGATCCGTTTTTATCCACCATTCAGTAGCATACAGCGTTGTAAGACAATACAGATGTAACTCGATCTCAGTCTAGTTAGACATTGATGGCGCATGTAATCACGTACATATTGTAACATCCTCTCTTTTTTTTTGTTTTTTTTTGTTTTTTTTTTTGGTGAAGAAAAGCTTGGAAAAAAGAGAAAAAGAAAGAAAGAAAAAAGAAAAAGAAAATTAACCAATAAAAGTGTCAATGTCAGTTCAGTTCAGAATCAATGCCATAGGACAAAATCTATCAGCTGGTGAGTTCGACATGAGAGGATTGGTAAACGAGAACACTGAACCCTATGATAACCGCGAAGAAGGATTTAAAGTCACGAGTCTAGACACGGATATAGTCCTTGAGGTATGCTGGGCTCCTCCTGACTCGCTCTGACCTCCGACATTGTTCCGGAACAGTCACCTCTTCAGGGTGTGGCTCGTGAGGAGTATTGCTCTGGTCAGGGGTAGACGCTGCGGTTGTGGTCGCCTGTTCATCTGTGCTGGCCATAACCGGTTCTGGCGCTGTGATGGTAGGTTCAACTGGTGGTTCAGACGTTTTCCGCAGGTGCTGTCGGTTTCTGCGGTAGACTGCTCCGTTGTCCGTCTCAACGGTGTATGATCGCTCGTCGAGTCTTGCAGTGACTTTGGCCTTGCGCCAAGACTTATCTCCAAGTTTGAATGGCTTCATTCTAACAACATCGCCTTCAGACAAACTGGGTAAATCCTTTGCGGACCGGTTGTAGTACTTGGCTTGGGCCTGCTGGCGCTGTCGCAGCTCTTTCTTTTCCACTTCCAGGTTTATGGTCCTGGGTAGTAGTAGTAGGCTTTGAGTGGTAGGAAGGAGTGTTTTGGTCCTTCGGCTCATCAGGCGTTGTGCTGGGCTGGTCGTCGTCCCTTGTGTCGGCGTGTTTCTATAGTCGAGTACGGCGAGGTATGGGTCGGTTCCAGCCCTGATTGATTTCTTCAGAATGCGCTTGACTGTCTTCACCCCAGACTCGGCCTTGCCATTGGCTTTGTTATTTCCAGGGCTACTGGTAAGGTGCTCAAAATCCCATTTTCTGGAGAATTCAGCGAATTCGTCGCTTGTAAACTGTGGCCCATTGTCACTGATCACTTGATCAGGTATACCGTAGCGAGCAAAGTGACTCTTTAGCTTCAGAATGGTGGTGCTGGCTTTAGTGTTCGGCAACCTGTCCACCTCCCAGAAATTGCTATAGTAGTCGATGGTGACCAGGTAGTCTTTGCCATCAAGAGTAAAGATGTCTGTGGCGATCTTCTCCCAAGGACGGGATGGGACCTCGTGGGACATTAGTGTCTCCTTTGGGTGCGTGGTGCTGTCGAGTTCTCTACATATTTCACAGGCGGAGATGTGGTGTTTCATTTCCGCAGACATGCCTGGCCAGTAGATACATTCACAGGCACGCCTCAGACACGCCTCTATTCCAAGGTGGGATGAGTGAATCTTCAGCTTCATATCTGCGCGAGGGCTCTTTGGTATCACAACGGAATTTCCTTTGAAAATCAGCCCATCTTGTACGGTCAGTTCGTTGCGCATACTGAAGTAAGGGTGTATCAGTGCTGGAGCATGCTCCTTCTTCTCAGGCCATCCTACGAGAATAGTATCTGATAGCTCTCGCAGACACTGGTCCTTCCGGGTCTCTGCTCTTATTTCGTCTAAACGTTGGTCAGATATGGGTAGATAACGGACCATGTTGACTGATTCGAAGTCATCTACTTCTTTTCCGTTGTAGGGCAGGTAAGCCCTTGACAGCATGTCAGCCAAATGCATGTTCTCGCCACGCTCATAGTGCACGGTGAAATCGTATTTCTGTAACCTCATCATCATTAACTGGAGGCGTCGAGGCGCTCGAGCGAGTGGTTTCTGTAGAATCATCTCCAGTGGCTTGTGATCACTTTCGATGTGTACATGTCGACCAAATGTATACTGGTTGAAACGCTCAAGAGAGAAGACAATCGCCAGCATCTCTTTCTCTATTTGAGCATACCGGGTTTCTGTGTCGGTAAGGGAGCGACTTGCGTACTCTATAGGCTTGCTGTTCTGAAGTAATGCTGCACCAAGGCCACTCTGGCTCGCATCACACTGTATGGTGAGGTCTAGGGAAGGGTCGTAGTAACGTAGAACAGGCGCTTCTGTTACTAGCCTCTGCACGTTTTCAAACGCCTGGTCTTGTTCCGAAGACCAGTTCCATGGAGCGTCCTTCCGAGTCAGGCGACGAATCGGTTCCATGACTTCAGACAGTTTCGGAAGGGACTTGGCTAGATAATTGACAAATCCGTTGAGGCGCTGAACGCCCTCCACATCTTGTGGTTTCGACAATTTTGTGATCGCCTCTACTTTGGCAGGATCAGGCTTCAGGCCCTTGTTCGTCAGGAGATGCCCCATGAAATTTACCTCGCTCATCCTGAGCTTCATCTTGTCTGGGTTAAGGACAATGCCGCGGTTCTTGCACCTTTGTAGGTGATCTCGGAGACTCCTGTCGTGGTTTGCAGTGGCTTCTTCGTCGGTCTCTCCAGTGCCATAAATGAGGATGTCGTCCGCGATGCACAGAATACCAGGTAAGCTTTCCAGTGCGTGAGTTAAGTGCTTCTGGAAAATCTCGGACGAGGCAGAGAGACCGAAGGGCAAACGAATCCATCTGTACCTTCCGTAGGGTGTTGCGAAGGTCGTGAGTACGCTGGACTCAGGGGCAAGGACACAGTGCCAGTATCCCGACTTGAGGTCAACTGTCGAGAATACTTTTGCTTTTGAGAGCTCCGGGAGTATGTCCTCAAGTACAAGAAGTTGATATCTTTCTCTCTTCAGGGCGGTGTTAAGTGGCCTGGGGTCGATACAGATTCTCAGCGCTCCAGATTTCTTCACAGCCACGGCAAGACTGCTAACCCATGGAGTAGGTTCATCGAGCTATGACCTCCAATTGCTGTAGTCGATCCAGTTCTTTCCTCAGTTTCTCTTTGAGTGACGTTGGGACACGGCGTGGAGGTGCGACGACGGGAGTTGCGCCTTGTTCGACTTCAAGGTGAACTGTTCCTGGTAGTGCTCCTAGCTCTGGGTAGGCCGCTACTATTTCGTCAGCCGTGTGCACGCTCTTAACCTTTGCCCTTGATATTTCAGGTGGTTTTGCGATCGTGAAGTTTTGAGTGTTGACAGTAATTAGGCCCATCTGTTGAGCTGCCTTTGCTCCAATGAGTGGGGTCAGTTGTCTATCAACGACAAGGAATTCCACCGAGAACTTCTTCTTATTCTTTGGATTGTGGAGAATTAATCGACAGGAACCCAGTGGCTTTAGTGTTGTGTCGTTCCACTATTGTAGTGTCTTTGTGGTGGGCTTAAGCTTCTTATCAGCCACAAGATCGGCGGAAATGACATTCACCGAGGCGCCGCTGTCTACTTGAAATTTCACTTCTGCCTTGCCCACAAGCATCTCAGTGTAGATTATTCTTGGGTAATCATGTTCTTGTGTAACAGCGTGTATCATGTCCGGTCGTGCAACAATGCTTGTAATGTCGTGCAACAATGCTTGTAATGTACTCCAATGCTTGTAATGTACTCCATCTCTCAAGTTGTACACTTTTCTGGTCGGAGTAGTGCAGGTTGTTGCGAAGTGATTTCTGCCACCGCACTTCGTACATTTCGCGCCCCACGCTGGACACTTTCCTTTTTCGAAAGGATGTGCTTTGCCACAAAATTTACAGGTCTTCGTCTTCCCCGCGCGGCTTTTCCTAGACTTGTCATCACGGCGGCTGGAAGGCGGGTGTTTATCTTGCACAGCGTGAACATCTTCGTTCTGGGCGCCCGAGATCGTTTTCAATTGCAAATTTGTTTCCTCAGAACTCTTGCAAAGATCGATATACTTCGCCAGGGTGAGACTCCGTTCTTGTAGAAGCCGTTTGCGAGTGCGGTGATCTTGAATGCCCAGGACGATCCTGTCGCGAATGATCGAATCACGCATGCAGTCACAAAAATTGCATGTTTTCGCTAGTGTGCGAAGGGCGGTGACATAAGCATCAATGCTTTCGTTTTCCTGTTGAGTTCTGGAGTTGAAAGTGTACCTTTCAAAGGTTTCGTTCAGTTCGCCGATGGTGAATTCGTCGAATTTTTGTATTATCTTTGCCAGATCATGTCTATCGTCTGGAGTGTCGAATTGGAAGCCGTTAAAAATCTTTAACGCATCAACACCGATACAGTGGAGAAACAATGCGACTTTGTACGCCGGCGGTTTCAGCTCGAGTTGAGCAATGACCATGTAGTTGCCCCACATTTGTTTCCATACTTTCCAGTTGTCCGCCACATTCCAAGTCGTAACTAGTTTTCCAGGAGGCATTATCCCGGCCATCGCGCCAAAAGGCGGGTGTTGCACAACTCCCAGTTGTGTTAGGGTCTGTTGCGAAGAGCCAGGTGGTGGCGCTTCAGGCGCCGTTTCTGAGTCGGACATTACTACACCAAGATGATTTCAACTGTTTTCGACTCCGTTAGTGGTAGGCGGAGGATTCGCTATCCCACCGCTGCCACCATGTTTCAAGATCCGTTTTTATCCACCATTCAGTAGCATACAGCGTTGTAAGACAATAAAGATGTAACTCGATCTCAGTCTAGTTAGACATTGATGGCGCATGTAATCACGTACATATTGTAACAATGAGAAACAAAAGAGTTATTGTCGAATTGGCGAGAGCTGTCGTGTAATGGTTTCTGCTGTCCACTGATACCTAACAGAGAAAGAATACCGTATCCAGTCAAGTCGCCGACGGTTCAACTCGCCAACGCCAACTCGCCGATGTGTAAAATCGAGTAGAGACGTAGTCGACAACTTATTACAAGATAAACATATAGAAAAGTAAAAGATATTTAGTGAAAAACAATTTTGTTTTCTTCCAACAAAGTTTATAAGGATCTCATGACAAATAAAGTAAGGTAAACATCGCCAATGAATGTAAAAGCTTCAGACGCGAACAAGCTATTGTGTGACAATATTGTAAAGACTTATCATGTCAGTCGATCAGATTATTTTAAGAAAACTTGGCTTTCTAGACAAGATCTTTAGCAAAAAATACAATTCTTTTTATTTCCAACAAAGTTTATAAGGTTCTCAAGGCGAAGAAAGCAAGGTAAACATCGCCAATGACCGAAAAAGCTTCAGACGCGAATGGCGAGTTATTGTGTGACAATACTGTAAAGACTCATCATGTCAATCGGTCAGATTTTTAAAAAAAAAACTTGGCTTTCTAGACAAGATCTTAAGTAAAAAACAATTCTTTTTATTTCCGACAAAGTTTATAAGGATCTCAAGGCGAATAAAGCAAGGTAAACATCGCCATTAACCAAAAAAGCTTTAGACGCGAACGAGTTATTGTGTGACAACAACACTGTAAAGATTTATCATGTCACTCGGTCAGATTTTTAAAAAAAAAATTGACTTTCTAGACAAGATCTTTAGTAAAAAAACAATTATGTTTATTTCCAACAAAGTTTATAGGGATTTCAAGGCGAATAAAGCAAGGTGAATATCGCCAATGACCAAAAAAGCTTTAGGCGCGAACGAGTTATTATGTGACAACCATAACAACCAGGCGAAACGACATGGTTTTTTAACTTTAGAGAATGATTTATTCATGATCGAGAACGTTTGATTTACGATAAGATTTGATATATTGAAAAGATCAAGTGAACATGTGAAAGCTATACATATCATGCAATTATTCTGCTCTTGAAGGTCCGTTTAATCTCGACATCGATTTCAATAATTGGGCCGCTGTCTTTTCACCATTCTCATATTTCACACACCAACTCATTCACGTCTGAAGCTTTTTTGGTCATTGGTGATGTTCACCTTGCTTTATTCCCCTTGAGATCCTTATAAACTTTGTCGGAAATAAAAAGAATTGTTTTTTTTTACTACAGATCTTGTCTAGAAAGCCAAGTTTTTTTTAAAAAAAAATCTGACCGATTGACATGATGAGTCTCCTTGTTGTCACACAATTACTCGTTCGCGTCTGAAGCTTTTTTGGTCATTGGCGATATTCATCTTGCTTTGTTCGCCTTGAAATCCCTATGAACTTTGTTGGAAGTTTATATTAATTGACGATGTTTACCTTGCTTTTTTTTTCCATGAGATCCTTAAAAACTTTGTTTGAAGAAAACAAAATTGTTTTTTCACTAAATATCTTTTACTTTTCTGTATGTTTAACTTCTAATAAGTGGTACTGGATTGAAGACCGACTCGCCCACGTCTCTAATCGATTTTATACGTCGGCGAGTTGGCGTTGGCGAGTTGAACCATCGGCGACTTGACCGTAATTCAAGAATACAAATGCTCCAGTTGTTAGATTTTTCCTCATTTTGGTTTCCCTGTTCTACGTAGAAGTTAGTGTCACGAGACCGGTTTTCCATATTTGGTATTGTACACGAGGTTTTCTGTTCAGATTAAAAATAGTTCTTCCGCCATCTTGATCTAGTCACTGTGTTCCTGGCCTTTTATTCGGAATACACAACAACTGGCGACGAGGATGGGATTCCTTTGATCAAGCACAAGCGGTTAACAGGAGTGGGTCGTACAAATCACGTTCAAAAAGGGACAGAGACGACGAAAATAAAATTATGCCGGACGAAGCACCGAGCGCTAACACGAGTCAAGCCATCGGCAAAGTGACAAAGTTTGTGGTGGGAGCGGATTGGGAGTCCTACACCGAACAACTGGATTTTTACTTTCTTGCAAATGGAATCAAGGAACCTAAAACAATGAAGGCCGTACTTTTGACGAACCTTCCGGTGGAGACTTACCAATTGGCAAAGGATTTAGTGGCCCCCACACAACTGAAAGATGACGCCATTACCTATGAGATCATCGTGGAGCGAATGCGGGAACAACTGAAGCCGGAAAGATCAGCGCTGGTTGCGAGGTATGAGTTCGACAACCGAGCCAGGAATTCCGGTGAGTCAGTTAGTCATTATGTAGCCACGCTGAAGCACTTGGCCACAGAATGTAAGTTTGGAGAGGCCATGCGAACCGAGCGCCTTCGTGACCGATTAGTTTCAGGTATCCGCGACTCGAAGATGATTACGGAATTGTTGAAAGTAAAACTCGCCGACCTTTCATTTGATCTCGCGGTTCAAAAGTGTTTGGCCATTGAGCAGGCTAATAAAGATGTTCAGGTGCTTCAGGGAGAACAAGGGCCAGGCACCCCAATCAATAAACTTGACACTGTCAAAACTGGGGAAGAACAAGCCATATCCAAGCCACCACCTAGGGCCGAGGGTCCCCGAGGTAAGGACAGTAAGAAGTCTAAACCTTGTTACCGCTGTTCAGGGTCACATAACTCACAAAAGTGTCCCTTCATGAAAGAACGCTGTTTTCATTGTGGCATCATTGGACATACACAGAGAGCATGTAGGAAGAGACAGGCCACCTCACAGATGACTGAGGCTGGAATAAATGTCATGGAGGGTGACGATTCCGAAGAAAGTGATGGAGAATTTGGGAACCTGTACCATGTCTCAGACATTAAAAACACAAAGCCCATTTCACTTAAGATCTACCTTGAAGGCCGCCCAGTGACTATGGAGCTGGATACAGGTTCAGTGGTGTCAGTCATGAGTGAGAGGGTGTATTTGGATTACCTCCGCCACATTCCTTTAAAGGACACCTCCTTGAAGTTGCGCACATACACAGGAGAGTCAGTGAAGCCTATGGGGTTTTGCCATGTGACTGTGCAGTATCAGGGACAGTCAAAGAAACTTCCCATATATGTAGTGAAGAATGAGGGACCCACTCATTTTGGCAGAGAATGGCTGGAATCTATCCATCTGGACTGGCCCTTACTTCGTCTGGAAACATCCGACACCATTCCAGCCCTGGAAGATGTCCTGAGTAAGCATGGAGATGTTTTCTCTGAAGGTTTGGGCAAAATGAAGAATATCCAAGCACGGATCCTAGTTAAAGAGGATGCCCGGCCTCGATTCTGGAAAGCCCGCCCAGTAGCGCTGGCTCGTAAACCAGCAGTGGACGAATCATTGAGAGAGCTGGAAGCTGAAGGAGTTATAAAGAAGGTAGCTACTAGTGAGTGGGCTGCTCCAATTGTGACACCTGTGAAGAAGGATGGCAGTGTAAGAGTGTGTGGTGACTTCAAAGTGACCATCAATTCACAGCTGGAGGTAGACGAGTACCCACTTCCCCGCATTGATGATATTTACGCCAGCCTAGGTGGGGGAACGTTGTTCAGCGTCATTGACCTCCGTCAGGCTTACCTACAAATGGAGGTTGAGGAGCACTCCAGGCCTTTCCTCACCATTAACACAACCCGTGGTTTGTTCCAGTACCAGCGCCTTCCTTATGGTGTAGCTTCGGCGCCAGCCATCTGGCAGCGAGCTATGGATCAGATCCTGCAAGGACTACCAGGGGTCTTCTGTTACCTGGATGATATCATTATAACCGGCCATACCATAGAGGAACACCTGGAGCGGTTAGTCGCAGTATTGAAGAGGTTGGAAGAGTATGGTTTGAAATCCAACCGAGAAAAGTGTAAATTCCTTAGAAGTTTTGTGGAGTACCTAGGACACGTCATCTCTGCAGAAGGACTGCACCAATCCCCAAAGAAAGTAAAGGCTATCACTGAGATGCCGAAACCTCAGGATGTTACTCAACTGCGTGCTTTTCTTGGCATGGTCCAGTATTACGCCAAATTCTTGCCCGATCTGGCCACTCATCTTGCTCCACTTCATCGGCTGTTACAGAAAGATGTGACGTGGTTGTGGGGAGCTGCGGAACAAACTAGTTTTCTTGTGGTGAAAGAAATGTTACTACAGGATAGGGTTCTGACGCGCTATGACCCTGACTGACCACTAGTTCTTGCCACAGACAGCTCCTCGTATGGTCTCGGAGCGGTCTTGTCACACCGTACTGCTGAGGGAGTAGAGCGCCCTATCGCTTATGCGTCCCGGTCCCGGTCCCTGTCCGAAACAGAGAAGAAGTTCTCACAAATCGAGAAAGAAGCCTTATCTTTGGTCTGGGGTGTGAAGAAGTTCCAAATGTACCTGGAGGGTCGCCACTTCACCTTGGTCACCGACCATCAGCCTTTGAAGTACATAATGGACCCCGGGAAGGCTGTGCCAGTCACCGCAGCAGCGAGGATTCAGCGTTGGTGTCTCTTCCTAGGAGCTTTTTCATACAATATCGAGTTCCGAGGTACCAAGCAACATGCCAATTGTGATGGTTTATCTCGCCTACCTCAACCATCAGCGCCCGCTGACAAGCCCGATGAAGTTGAAATATTCCATACCACCGTTGTCGAGGCCCTCCCCGTTACAGAGCACGACTTGAGAATGCAGACCCGTAGGGATCCAGTACTTTCCCGTGTTCTGGAGCTTGTGCAGTCAGGATGGCAAGGGACCGAACTTCACCCAGACCTCATCCACTATGCCCATCGCGGTAACGAAATCACGATTCATCATGGAGTTCTAATGTGGGGTAGTAGAGTAGTCGTCCCAGCCAAACTGAGAGAGAGAGTTTTAGAAACGCTTCACGAGGGTCACATTGGTATGGTCAAGATGAAGGGTTTGTCCCGGGGTTTTGTTTGGTGGCCAAACATTGACAAGGACATAGAAGGGGCCGTCCGAAACTGTGAGGGATGTCAAGAGTTGGCAAATAATCCAGCCCGTGCACCCCTGCATCGATGGGAGTACCCTTCCCTTCCCTGGCAAAGACTGCATATTGACTTTGCCGGACCAGTCGAGGGAAAGATGCTCATGGTAGTGATCGATGCCCACAGCAAGTGGCCGGAGATTTTCGTGATGGAGATCACCACTGCTGAAGAAACCGTTAGCACGCTGCGCTCTCTGTTTGCCCGCATGGGACTCCCTGACCAGATGGTGTCAGATAATGGTCCACAGTTCACGTCTGAAACCTTTAGGAAATTTACAACTGCGAACGGTATAAAGCATGTCACTGGTGCACCTTACCATCCATCAACCAATGGTCAGGCGGAAAGATTAGTACAGAGTTTCAAGAAAGGAGTTAAGGCTGACAAGTCCAGTAGAACCCTGCAACACAAGCTTGATAGGTTCCTGTTAGCTTATCGATCAGCGCCACACGCCACTACTGAGCTTAGCCCTGCACAGCTTCTCCTGGGTCGGAATGTTAAGAGAAGGTTGGACCTGATTAAGCCGGATGTTTCAAGAAAAGTTAACAAGAAGTTGCTCCAGCCCAATGACCGCACTTTAAAGTCTTTTGACCAAAACCAGAACGTATGGGTCCGCAACTACCGCAGAGGTTCAAAATGGGTGCGTGGCACCGTCATTGAACAAACGGGTCCAGTCCTGTACAAAGTCAAGGTAAACGACCAAACCTGGAAACGTCATGTAGAGCAGCTACGGGATAGCAACCTTTGTCCACCTGACGCGGAAACGATGGATGATTGTGCTGTTCCGGAGGAGGTCGAACATGACACACCGCCTGTAGCTACGGAGACTGAGTGGAAGGATGCACCACCTTTGGCTGTGACGCCTATTGGGGAGTTTTCCCCTCCAGAACCACAAGGTCATCAACTAGATCCGAAACCTGAATCGATTACCACCCGTGCCGGTCGTTTGGTTAAACCACCTCCTAAGTTGAAGGACTATGTTTGCGGCTAGAGGGAACTGTGGTGTTTCTTTCTGTGGCCACAGTACCAACATGTTATCTAAGATACTTTGAAATTTGTTTCTTGGATTTTGTTTTATTCTTTCTTTTCATTAGTGTACTACTGAGTCTTAAAAGGGAGGAAATTGTTAGATTTTTCCTCATTTTGGTTTCCCTGTTCTACGTAGAAGTTAGTGTCACGAGACCGGTTTTCCATATTTGGTATTGTACACGAGGTTTTCTGTTCAGATTAAAAATAGTTCTTCCGCCATCTTGATCTAGTCACTGTGTTCCTGGCCTTTTATTCGGAATACACAACACCAGTATTCTTAAGAGGGGTTTAAACCCTTTAACTCCCAAGATCTCACTAGTAATTCTCCTAAATTCTAGGTCACACAAAGTTTGCAATTTTGAAATGAATTTCATGTCATGCAGTTTTGGTCTGAAATCAAACTTGTGAGTTGAAAAAATTAACAAGTGCTTAGTTATTCCAAACTCCACGAGAAAAATCATTTGATTATGGATTAATAATAGACATGAAAGAATTCAAGATGAATATAATTATGCAGAAGCAAAGCACACACATCAAGTACAAAAATAATTTATTCAAACCCTGCAAGTGACATTGTGCATTCGGTCAAAACAACTGTGTCTTTAAGGTGCAAGTCCGGCTAAACAGTTCAAGGAATTTTTCAGTCTGGTTTGTTAATTCTTTACACCGAATTAACCCTCTTCTGCAATGAATTACCTGAAAACTACATTTATCTTAACCAATCAATACTGAGTAACTTTTCATTTATCTCATTACTAATACTAATGAGCAGGTTACTTTATGAAAAATGCAGTCTGGAAAAAAAATAGATCAAAAGATTGAGTTGTTATTGCCTTCTCAATTCAGCTCGTTTGATTTTCTCCAACAGCATAAGATTATAACTTCCACAATGCATAAAGAAAGCAACAATCAACCTCTTCTTACCTTCCATAAACTCCATGAAGATGATAGCATTTCTGCCTTTGAGAGAAGCACCCAAGAATGAAACTATGTAGAAATTATTCTCCGTCCTCGCAAGTTTCAAAGGCAGAATTTCATCTGTACAATCCCAAGACTCCAACTGAATTGTTAAAACAAATATAAATACTGTATACTCTAAATATACACTCAATTAATCTTCGTCAACATCCCCTGCACAATCCCCAGGGAAATCCCCAAGGCAATCCCCAAGGCAATCCACAAGGCAATCCCCTTGGGTATTTGAACTCTTGAAGATTGTTTTGTTGAAATTGACATGATATTAGTGGGATAAACAATATAAACAATGAAGATTATATTAGGATCTACTTTATCCTTAAAGAACTGATTTCAGGGACAGACTTGTACAGACAAATGGACAACATTATTTCAGGGTGTAGGAAGTCAGATTAGGGCTTAGTTCTCTCCTAAGATAAATTAAAGTCTAAAATCATTCTTTTTTTTCCAACCAGTCTCGCGATCTATCATTATTTCAATCTTTACTTGGGTTTTTTCATTTTTTTTTTTTAACAAAATGCTAAAATTGAAGTCGCAGTTGACGATTGCCCAAATTATGGAAACTAATCCGATTCTGCCAATTAGCATTCATTGATAACAGCTCAAGGTACTTACTGTCAAGTAGTTTTTCTTATATAAAAAAAACAACAACAACAACAACTGGCTAGAGGTTTCAGAATCACATCGAATTCTGACAGTAGAGGAAAAAAAATCTTCCTCATTAACCTTTTGACCTTTAAGAGTGACTAACATCTAATTTCTCCTTACAATTTCGATCATCTCCAGATCACACATCAAGGTCACGAATATAAACAAAGGAAATGATCACCATCAAGGGAAGCTCTTGATTGCTTAACAAATTCTCTTTGTCAGCATCTCAGGAAATGTATGGAGAAGTGTATGGAGAATATGCATACTAATGTTCTTTGAAGTATTACCTGCCTATAATGTTGATTGTACGCGCAGGCCTGCTCTTCTGTGAGCGAAGGACTGAGTTTTCCTTTTAACGAACTTTTCATTTTTCATCCTTGTTTTTTTGTAATTTATGATCATCCAATTAATGTTCCTCTACCCTTGACAACTCCAACTTACAATGTGTTTAGTCTCGTGAAGAGCTCCGAATCAATGTCAGAATCTGAGCAATTGCACACCTACCCCTTCCCTAACCCAAAACAGTCAACTGAAATGAAATTAGGGCTAATTAAGTTGGCTTAAGGGAGGGGTAGGAGCGCAATTATTCAGACACTGACATACGATCCACAACTCCTCCAGTTGGGTTGAAAGAACTGCCAATGCTGCAAAGCTAGAAGATAGAAGCTAGGTGACAACAACTTGTGAAAAAGCTGCACTTTATTACCATATATGTAATGCGACGTACATATGCTGTTCCGCTCTTTTTTCCTTTATTGCATACTGAAAACGGTGGCCTCATATTTAACACTAAAATTTTCACCTTGTTTTTTATGCACTCTGTTGAGTTTTGTTAAATATCGTGAGATGAAATTCGACTTATCAACACTTATTGAGAGGTTTCAAAAAACGCGATTTTCCAATTTTTGCTTCTAGTGAGTGTATCTTGAATTTTTTTGCTTTTCCCAATTCTTCGGCAATTCACGCTCATGACAAAATGACGTCACTAAATTCTCTTAACTCTCGCCTCACAAATCATTTGGCATAGACTGAATGGTCAAAGAGAAAAACTATTGATGGTAAGCTGTAAATGTTGGCTTCCTCTTTTCGGCTTTTTGCAGCATTTCCTCGAATTGGTTGAAGAAAAAAAACTTACGTTGGTTTTACATCACATTCTGATGGTGTCGATGTCACGTTTTCTCACCTGATTTTTATCTGATGTATCTCAAACATGGTTATCACAATCATGAGTTTTTGAAATTCCCTGACTTTTTTTCTGACATACGTAAAATGTCCTTGATCAACTGAATGTACAATTTCACAAACGAGTCCTGATAATGACCTCCACCCTTCCCCCCTTAGTCAGACTTTCTACCCATAGATTTATGCTTTCAGTAAGTCACATACAGCGTACATGAAGTTTCACTTTTCCACGACTTCTTTCAAATACGTAAATTTTTCCTTGACTCAAAATGAAATTACCTGTCTTTTCCTTGACCTTGAAGAATTGCATTTTGCCCTGACTTTTTCCTGGCCTGTTGCAACAATTTCGAAAAATTAAGCGTCAATTTTTTTCTAGTCTGACATTTTAATCCGTTTAAATCTTTGTCATCCTTTCCCATTTTTTCTCCCATTTCATTTCTTCCTTCCATAGAAGTGTTTTGTCACCTTATTATGCTAATAATTTGTGGTTTCCTTTGTAGTGAAGGTAATTTTACACGTGGCATCAAACGATACAAAATATAATGACGTAGAACTTTTAAGATTCACGTGGTATTTAGAGGAATGATAGTTTCTGATACTGTAAAACTTTGGCCGGGATTCGGCGAGTGCACTGGGGCGGCAGGCGCCGTGTGTGCGAAGGGCGTCCCGGAAGCAAACCCGCCTTGATTTCGTATGGTCTGCCGAATACCAACACCAGGTTTTCCATGATGTGATTCGTCCGGTTCATTCCAGGCGAGTAACGGAGCTGTCCGGCGCTGCGACGGAGGTGCTGAAGATGCCCGAACATGTCTCCGTCTAAGCTCAAGATTTGACCTCACGTGGATTGGCTCGGATTCGTTAAAACTGCACGAAGATGGACGAGAAGTTGAATATTGTGAACGGTAAGTTGAATTCAGGTCGCCTGGTTCATTTCCTCGCCATGTTAGCAAGTCTCGAGTGCTCCTTGTGTGTTGGGTTTGACCTGGCTGGACATACTTCCTTTTTCCCATTCCCTGCGAAGAAAAACAATGATATGAAACGTTTACAGTCAGGTTTGTTAGTCTGGTATCAATGTTTATTTATTTAACAATATGATGTAAAAAATTTGTCTTGGTACCCTTAAATTTGAGTACAAAATGTCACAGTGATGTTCTTAAAGATTACCGTTACTCTTAAAACTGTCACGCAAGCTAAATATGCTTCAGAATCGGTCACATACTACGCTCTCATGGGGTATTGTTAACACTGTCACACTAACTAGCCACACCAACTAGAGGGTTTACGTCTAAGGTGTAACTTTCCACCCAAAATCCCAGTGGTTTCGTTATTTTTTTTTATGCTTGGGCATCCTTCTGGGCAAAAAAACACAAAGAAGAAGTGAATTCCTTCATGCCCCATGTGTGGGTAGGTACTGACACTTGTGCATCATCACCTGCTCTATAATGAGAACCCTGTCATTTACATGCAAGGTTTTGGTTTAAGGCAGGTTCTGCTTGCCTTCAAATTTTCTCTTAAAATGACTCTTAACTGTGTATTAACCCTTTCAGACTAGTCCCAAAATCTGATTGTTAATCATCTCCCCTAGCTGCTGCACATTTCCTTGTAAATTAGTTACGAGAGTTTGGTGTTAGATCAAGATAGCAATTTCTACCTGATTAGTTTCAGTTTTAGCATTACTTTTGTGTGGAATAATGTATGGATATGAATTTTTGTTATTTTTTAACCTGACAGTTTATCAGTAAGCCTGAATATTTAAGCCTTGTAGATAATCTAAGCCTATTTTTTCAAGTTAATATCCTAAAAAATGAATGTGAGTCTGGCACTGGAACAAACACATACTGTATAGAAAGATCTGGTAACAATTAAAATTTTGCAACCAGCTTACAGGAATGACTCATGCAGAGCTTTTTCCAAAAATGGCTGCCAATGGTGCACCAGGCAGCCATGCCATTTGGGAAAAACCAAACAAAAGACCTTGCTCCCAGGCTGACTGGATTTTATTGAAATCCTGCCCATGGTATAAACATTGTAAAAACAAACAAAAGGAAAACAATCAAAAGGAACTTGTGAAATAACACCATGAAGGATCATATGTTATGGCACATTAAATCTTGACAAGGCAATAGACCATAAGTGATAGTTAATAAAACTAAACTGAACTGAAAGAGCAATTCACAAACTTAGAATCATCAGGTGGAGTCCATTGCAGTCTTTAATCATAGTGATGGTAAAAAAAAATATTATGATAAGTTGTATTGTAAAATAATGCAGTTTGATTGGTTCTTGCCTATGATCTAGTGGAGACGGATGCATTGACTGTGTATCACCAACTGAACAGCATTTTGCATGTTAATTATAAAGAAAACAAATTCTTTGTAGCTGAGGGTATGTATAGTAAATTGTAATAAATCACAAAAGGTATCAAAAAGCAGTAAGAATATCAGTGGCACACTCAGCTGCACCTTAATTTGCCACCTTTTTGTTCTTACCACATTTTGATTTCACCTGTGATCTATTACATGTACTAAACAGAGGCATAGCAACAAGCAATCCATTTGTAACTCAAACATCAGCGAATCAAGACTTCAATTTGTTAATCATGAGTATGATTACAGAAATAATTAGACAACAAAAAAGACCTAATAAATTATTAAAAACTGCAACAAAATTTGAGAAACAAAACAACAATCTGCTGAACTGATGATGATATTCATAATATATAAACATGAAAAACAAAACAAACCTATAGTCTACATAACAAGCACAGGCAAATGACAAATGAATTGTCTGTTATGCTGTTCAGTTACAAGCATGGCACCTTCACTGTCCTATAACCTGGGCTGTTGCTAACCAATCACATTAAACAATTTTGCTGAAGTTTTTTATCATCAGTAAATATAATTTGACTGGTTATATCAATAAAAAAAGTGGATTTTCTAATATGTAACAGCAATATTTCAAACTTTTTGAAAACAGTTGTGAAAGAGCAATAAATTATGAATTGAAAATCACTCAATTGCTATGAAAATGCCACTGGTGTCTGATTAAAGAATTTTATTTTCTCAGACATTAAATGTTGCAAGGAAATGATTCAGCAGAATTAAAACACTCACAGATATAATTATTTTCTCCTTCACTTTAGAATCCCTCGAATTTTAACAGGTGACCTCCAAATCAATCAATAGGTTCTGCCATCGAGATAATAAATATTACATACTGGTATGCACCTAAGCTCTGATTGAAAATCTGACATATACAGGAATAAGTCCCATAGTAAGGCAGTGATGTAAAGTGACAGGATTTTCCAGCGGAAGAGGCTGCATGATAAGTCATTTTCACATTGCAGGTACTACTCTCTGCATTATCAAATTAGAACTTGGAGACCTACATCATGCCAGCCCTATACTGGAAGTGTTTATACCTAATGCATCACAATAAATTTGTCAAGTAAAAATTTTACAGACAGCCAAGGTATGTGAGATTTTAAGTTTTTCCTTTTAAATTTGTGACATGTTGAATACTGTGAATGCTGGTGACTTTTTCTAAAAGTTGGTGTGAAACAGGATTATGATCCCCCTCCCCCCTCCCTCTTTGCTATGGTGTACTCTGACAGTTGATCAATTGTGAGATGAAAAAAAAAAGTGGATAAGAATTTGAAAAAACTCCAGTTTTTCTTTCAACCACAGGCCCTTGCTGTGACTGCTAATTAGATCATTGCCTCCAGAACTATAACTTAGGTTGGGTTAAAACAAATATTTCACATTAAAAAGATAACACCAAGATTCAAAATAGTAGCTGATTAATAAATACCATTCCAAAATAAGTTTCAAGATCTCCCATATCACTGTGTGCATGTCTGTTGTCATGTCTCGAGAACAGGTGTCTATTAGATCTTTCCTGTGAAATTCATACAAGAAAAATATTCAGATTAATTACTACAAAAAAATATCCACCAAATCATTTCAAGTAACATAATTTTCATACATTGGGAAGTGACATGTATAGCGTAATTGATAACGTAAGGTCACTGTTGTTGGTATAGTTCCAATTAAAAAAAGCGATGAATGTCACACCTGTTTCAGATATATTTGCAAGATTATATGAAAGGTTAAATCGAACTTCAAGTGCTGTTGATCATATTTCAGATAAAATTTTTTCATCTCTGTTACGCGAGGAACATTGTATCAGTGAGAAGTTGTTAGCTGTCCCACTGGTTGTTTCTGTTTGGGTTTGTTAGAGAGATATCTTGGTCAATTCTGATGTGGCCTGGAATTCGTATCACTAGTAATTACCCCTCAACGAAACAGCGAATGCATCATTAAAATTCAACATGGAGAAAATTGTGAAAGTTTTCTGAAGTTCAACTGGTGATGATATCTCATAACGAAGTCAATGTGTGATTTCTATCCGAGCGTAGAAGTCGTCTGCTAGTTCTTGTCTACCATCAAATTAAAGGCAGATACCTGATAGATCAGTACTTGTTGAAAGTTTCACAAGCAGCTGTTTACATGAGAGTAATGACAATGTTTATGTCAGCTGGGAGCTGCGCGTCCGTTTTATTTTCAGAACTTACCTTCGCATAATTCATAAATTTCTCCGGAGGACATGGCTTAGCTCTGTGACGATAAGGAATGGTAAACTCTGAGCGCGATTTGCTTCGAAAATGTCCATGAAAACCTGAAGGGAACTGGGAAATTATCCGTGTAAATAAATTTTCTTGGACTTCAATCGTTTATACAGAAGACACATGAGAGTCGAATTCGTAAAAAGCTTCTCAATAACTCACCCAAGTTCCACGAATGTCGTTATTGTCGAAAACTCTTGTCATCTTGAATTCATCAGGAAACTATTCAGGTAAAAAACGCTGCGTTTCGTTCACAATTTTCGAAGATAGTCGTCAATTTGTTGGAGAGGTTTCCGATTACCTTCAACCTAAGGTCGATGTTGTGTTCGTTACCACGGAGCTTGTAATTGACACTAATTGAAAGCCCCTAGAGAAATGAACCAATGGAACTTCGTTCCACTTCAACGCTCTGAGGTAATTATTCTAATTTTAGAAGCAACGCGTGCTGGTAGGAGATGTTCAATCAATAAGACTCTGAAGACAACAAATCAGACGAAAATGAGTTGCAATCTCACCGCCAACGCTATAAAATAAAGCGCGTGCGTATGTCGAGTGCACGCGGGAAGTTTGGGGATGTTGAGGACAAGAGATGGGTAAGAGTTGGTGGAGGCGCAGCCGGCTGAGAGCATCTCTAGCTTATTGAGTGACAACGCAAATAAAATTAAACTTCAATTGCCCCCGGGCCCATGCGAATACACATACCAGAAAATTGCGTAGATTCGTGTCGAAAGTATTTAAAATTCTGAAACTGCACGGTTTTAAAATTAAAATCACCTATTGAACAATCAACATTTCGAAGCTTTTCTCAGGGCTGAAAATCCTTGTAAAACCAGTTTAGTTGATATGATATTATATATATATGTATATATATTAAAATATAGGATTATACGAATAGCGTACACCAATGACTTTCTTGCGAGTGTTGCTTAAGGAGGGTCTCAATGGGGTGATGGCTTTTACGGCTATCGGTTAACATTTTGGCCAATATCCGGCTAACGGTTAACACCTTTCCATTGTTTCCACCAGAGATACTTTTTATGGTTAACTTTTTTTACGACTAACGGTTAAAATTTGTCAATTTTTACGTTTAACGGCTAAATATTTTGGCCGTTTTACGGCTAACGGTTAACCCCATTGGGACCCTCCTTAAGCTGCAATGAAGACCACAGGTACCCCACCCCTGTAAGCAGACGCGTGTTAAGGAGAAATTACTTAAGAGAGCTCTAAAGGCTAGCTGTGAATATCCCTTCGAGAAAAAAAGGAAAAAAACCCCTATATTAAATGTTAAATCTTGGGAAACGCTTTATGTTACTTTTACGGAAAGGTGTTTTTCGTTTCTCCAGCTTTGTTCTTTCATACAATTTTCATTTCCTCTCCCCCACCCCCTCGCTGACGACCGCGCGCAAGGAAAAAAAGGGCGGGAAACTAGACGCGGCTACATAAGGCGTTTTAAAAATCTTCGTGACAGTCACTCCATTTAATGGGTTTACCTTGATTTTGATTTATAATTTATCAGCTTTTTAAATTTTTTTAGAAAATTTCTATCAATCCTTGGAAAGAACGAACAGTTGACTGCAACGGGGAAATAATTGTTTCACCACGACACTATCAAGAGATTGTTTTCTGAGGGTTTGATTTCTGCAGACTACAATTCAAGTGGATTCTTAAGCACTCCAAGAGTGTCAGCTCTGATGCAAAATATTTTTCCTGCCCGTGAATTGTACAACTCCAATCCTTGGTAAGCTGCTCAGGTTTATTTTAACTTTATTTGTTAGTTTCTGGGGAGCTTGTTGGTCTCTGGCTACGAGCTAAATTCAATTTTTTTGTCGCGCGTGAAACCCACAAAGCTCATTCATTAAGCTTTTGACATGGTTGTTGTAAATTTGAACGAAGTGAACTTAAATTTTCGCAGTTTATTAGAATCGCCTTCAAGTTAAAATAAGATGTGCAAGTTGCATGTAGCAATTAGACGGAAAATATGGAAACTGCCTTTACACTAGGAAATTTCTGAGATCTCTTCATTACTTTGTTCACGAGGGAAAATTTAAGTCGATTCAAGAGCTCTTGCCACTTTCAAGGACGCTTAAACTTAAAAAAAATCATGCACCGTCGGTGGGGTGTTTAAAAGACAGTAAAGCATAGCCAGGAAAGGAAGTTTTGTTGTCTTAATCATTACAAATCTTTTTGTTTTTCAGTCGAGAGATGTGGGACAGCGAGCAGTTCAGTCAAAATTTCGGTTCGTGTTCACAGGGTTCTCAAAACAGCTCAACTGATCTATTTTCACAGTCTAAGATGAGCCAACATAAGGGGTTTAGTTCCATTGATGTCTGGTCACAACCAACAAATTCACAAAAAATACCTGAGGTACGTTTATCTGGAGACAGAAAGACTTAAATATGACTTCTGTTCGAAAACTATGCATTTGTCAAAAAATTGAGAAGTTGAAGTGCACAATATCTGCAATAAAAACACGATTGATAGCCTGACTCTTACATCGTAAGACAAACGATTGAACGTTCATTTATTTACTATCTCTGTTTTTTTGTCTCTGTTTTTGGTTTTTATTTTATCGTCTTTCACGGTTTTGTCAACCTGGTTTCTCTCATCATCGTATTTCATTCCTTTCCATATTCTTTCAATCATGATTTCTTCAAATCTCTCATCTCACTGCTCCTTCAAAACTCAGTTCTCAATGGACGTTGCACAATGAATAAACGATCTTAGCTGAGTGAGATTTTTCACATTCAATAACTACTCTCCTTACTATTGATAAAATAGATCTCTAATTCAAAAGAGAGACCCTTTCTACATCGCAACGGAATGATTTCATCTCTGAAGTTGGCCTTGAATATTTGAAAGATCAAATTCGATAAACACTACTGTACATTGTTAACATACTTTGTTGATTGCTTTTACCGTACAGGACGGATCAGTTAAGTATTATATGAAGTACATGAGTAAGCCACCCTTGTTTTCATCTGAGTCTGATAGACAGTCCTGTCAGCAGACTGCAGCGAGTTACAAAGAATTGATTGAAAGTCAAAAGAAACAAACAGCTGAGAGAGATGGCAGGTAAGGTTATGTTCTTTTAACCTTTTGGTCATTTTACCAAACTGAAAAATGATTTATCGATCTTTTAAGAAAATACTTCAAGAGTAATAAGTAGTTTCAAAAGAAACATTGAATTCAACTTTTTTAGAGAGAAGTTTTTGATAATTTAAAATATCATAAATTGCAATTGTTCTAAACATGTCAAACAAATTCATGTTTTAGATAATAGTTTTTAAAACCATTTTACCTGTGAGTATGAAAATATATATTTTAATATACAAACTAAAGACTTAAAATGATGTATAACTTTGCATCAAAAGAATATAATCTCCTGCCTTACGACTAGTCTTTCTGCAGTCACATTGTTTGCAAGTGTCGTGCCTGCTAACCGAGTTGGACTAAAACTTTCTGTAAACCTTTATTTATTGCTTCTCGCAGGGATGTTCTCGACAGTTTTATATCTCTACTCAAGGATTACACAAAAGAGGTAAGAGAGCATTCATACTTATTATAGATGATCAGGGCCGAGTTGTTCAGAGCTGGGTTAAGATAACCTGGGGTTAGTATATAAAATTTGATTTTAGATCTGAAAGCTTGAAGAGCCAATTCAGTTTATTTCTTTTTTACTACAATTCGATAATTAAATGCTCCAAAAACAATGGGTAAAATTATTCCAAAACGGCTTTTGAACAGAGAAATATAGAAACCTGGATTAAAATTTAACCCTGGGTTAGCGCTAATCGGCCTTTGAACAACTGGGTCCAGGTTAATATAAGTTCAGAATCAGCAAAGAGGCATAGTAGAATCACAAAGAGTATCCATCCTTGATCCTTGGTGTATCCCTTTAGAGTATTTACACTCATTCATGATTATCATTATTATCACTATCATTTATTGATAATGGTAATAGTGCAGTCTAATTCGGTTTGTAATCGTACAAGTAATTAACAAAATCGGACGACCAATCAATCATAACTATTACAATTTCCGAAAAAAAATATACATTTACGACAAACATCTCCAATTACACTGTCCAATTACGACTTTACAGAATGATTAGTGAAAAACAAAGCAGCTAATTCACCAATCACATTTGAAGAAATTGTAATGGTTAGGATTATTGTTGTATTTGTTTTTCTTATTGCTACTATTACCACTATTGTTATTATTATCATTATTACTATTATTATCATCATTTTTATTACTACATACTATGTATATCAAACCTAAATTACATTTAATTAAAGAATAAGTTGCTACTATATCGATTCAGGTGAAAGCAGCGATGGATTCATTCAAAGACAGCATTGATACCACACTTGCCTCCAAAGCTGAACAACTTGCCTCCGCCGCTAGTGAATCAGCAGATCTGATTAAGAAATGTAAGTAACCATGCGATACTCTGTGTTTTTCGCTACCGTCTTCACTCGTGTCGTACTTACTGAATGGTAAGAGTAATGTGAATTGTTCTATTTTCTTTAGTGAAAGATGACTTGCTGGAGGGTTTTGGGTGTCTTAGGAAGGATATGAAAGAAAATGAAGAGTTAAGAGAAATCATAGCCAAGGTAAGGAGAGCCAAGAATAGAGTGCACTTTCTTCATTAAAATTGATATTATTAGTAACGCTGTTTCCTTTTTTGGTGATCATAGTTGTCAGGAGATGAGGCCTTGAACCTTACCTTTTCGTGAATAGACATATCAATAAAAACTTGCTTAAAAATACAATTTTCGCAAGGGTCGATGAAAATGTTGCCGTTGAATTCCTTAACTCTCAGAATATCCATAGCAAATTGACGACTATCGGTATTACGAGTAAAGTAGGCAACGCCAAAAATCAAGAGAACACGAACTGGTCTGCTGTGAAAGCTTTTCTTAGATCCCTTCTCCATTATTTTATTTAGCAAAACAAAAAGATCGCGGAACAAGATTCGGAAATCAAAATGCTAAACGCACAGTTGGAAGATTTTCGAAAACGTGAAGCGAAAGCTTTAGAAAAACAAGAAAAATTTTTGGAGAGAGAAGACAAGCTGCTACAAAAGCTGGATGACATCAGCTGTCAGCAACAACCTCATCCACAAGTCTTTAATCCACTAAATCCAAAGTCCTTCGCCAATCAACGTCAAGCGTTTGAGCCTTTGCAGTACCCCTATCAAACATATGGCGCTCAGAACCCGTCAGTCGTCGCTTTCCCTGGCCGGACACCGCTTGCTTGGGACAGTGCTGAGATAAATCCGTCCAGTTCTATCCCACTGCATCACATTCACCCAGCACCGCAGTCAACCCTTCAGAATCCATCCGCCATAGAAGCGCTTCCCTTAAATGTCCAAGTTCCAACTTACGGACAAGGTACAGGAGTATCTGACCATATTCCTCAGCAGCGACAGGATGCGGATGCCATAGTTCCTTTTTTGAATACTCAGAGGCAGCCTCTGCCCTCAGCACAGAATCACCACGTCGTTACACATCCAACTGCTACGATCGCTCCGATGCGCTCTGGTTCTGATCAGGATCAGCGGTCTGCTAGCCCACAAGAAAAGGACATCATATTAGCCATGGTATCGAAAGGTAGTGATATTTAAAGTGTTGAAGGTTCTTGTTAGGAAAAAACATATTTGCTACGTGATTGCATAGTGAAATACACTCGCGTTACATTGACAAGCTACTTATCAGTGAAGGATGTATAACTCCTTCACTGAAAAGGGATACGGGCGGTCACAAAGTATTGATAGCAGCACCCAATTGTGAGTATTCCCCGAGAAGTATTTTCTATTCGGGAAGAAAGACAGTTTATGTGTTGGGGATATTCCCTACCTATTTCCTCAATTAAGCAAAAGTCAAACCGCAAACATGATTTACTTCAAGACTGTCATTTTTTCCGGTAATCTCAGTTACATCGACATGAAATCTTCTGTACGAGCAACTTGGACCATGTACTTTCTTGCAATGAGCATAATTTTCCCATGTCATGAATTTCCAATGTCCATTTTGGGGCGTGGTCCTAACACACTTTTGACTTTCTTCAGATGAAGAAGAGACCTTGAAACAATCTGAAGATGTTGTTTCTGCTGTAACAAAACAGAACAAAGGCGCTTATCTTACTTCTCCGACGACTTGTGCAGCTTCTAATCTTACAAAAACAGCACGGCCAAAGCAGTCCCCTGTAGTTACCGTGCATCCACAGGTTCGTATCAAGAAAGAAGATGAAAAAGAAAAGATGAAAGGTACAGGGATCGACTTCGTATGCACAGGCTTTTACCTCAAAGGTTTATTTAAAGACCAAAACTACCAAAGGCCAATCCTTATCAAATTTCTAACAGAGAATTTCCTTCAATCTGAGTTAGGCGATCATTCACAAATCTCGATTTATCATAGCTCTTTAAAATCAAAAGAGAGGGTTTTTGGCGTCAGCGTTTATAGACTTCTCTTCTGGTCCAGAACAAGTTAACAAAATCCACTGTTGTCAGGTTTCTCCACTTGCGAGCTTTTCCATCCTGGAGACAGCTTATGATAATAGTATGCATCTCTGCTACTGATTCGCCTTTGAGATTAATTTAGCTTTGATGAAAGGACGCCTTAGTCTTAGAGCTGACTTCTAATCCGATCCGGTTTATGTTCAGCCTGTCACCTAGACAGGGCCTAACATTTTTTATTTTCTTTCTGTCGCAGTAATAATTCCCGGATCCCCTTGCGCTAAAAAGGCTCGAAAGCAAGATCCTTTAGACATTTTTGTCTTCAACTTGACAAGTTCTCCAGATAAAGGAAGCTTTGATGCTCAGAAAATTGACGTCAGTTCAACAAAGAACGTCCCTGAACAACCAGTGAAAGTACATGCAACGAGATCCAAGAAAGTGAAAATGCAGGGGTCAAAAAAAGATACAGACTATGTTAAGGAAGTGGACCAAAACAGAGGAGGTTCGACGCAAGGCAACTTGACCTTCAAAGTGGTAAAAGGAAATTCAAGTGATTCCAGTTTGCGCGGGAAAGTAACTCCCGCCTTGAAAAGTAAGGAGAAGAATGGTACAGATCACAAATCTCGTGGACGCAGTGACACTTCTCCTAATTTTCAAAGCAACACACCAGACCGCCCAGTCAAAGCCAGCATGGAAAATGGTGTACCACGATCCAAAGTGGCGCAACGTGTGTTCCAGGTAATCAAACATTGCCAGCTTTCTGACCCTTCGCGAAACGGAGCACGGGTGTCATATGAATAAAGTTAGTTGAGAACTTAACGTTCTTTTTAAGGAACTCTTTTATTTTCGAGATAGATCGTTATTAAATTCCGTGTAATAGGCACTACAAAGTGTGTTCATCGATACAATTCATAGAAACACACTTGATTTGGTCAGATATCAAGTATAAGAAAACCGTATATATTGCGCTCTAAAGAATATTTGTATTCACTGCTGGATTGATATAAGAGAGTTCTTTACAGTAAATGGCTTGATTAAAGATAAGATGGCGGCTATAATTTTCACCAAGATGATAATGAGCACTCGCCCGTCAAAATTAGGCCTGCGTGGCAGGTTAGGGTCAGAGTAGTCTTAGGAGCGACTGTTGTCGGTAGTGGTTACTGACGTTTCTATGATACCTCAACCAACCTTATATGTTACTCTACTGATAAAAGTTTGTTGAATTCTAAAATAATTTGCAACTTTTCATTTCAGAGGTCCAAGATGTCTTTTAAGCGAAACCTTGTTGCTGCAAAAAGAGTCTTATCCTTTGATGCGTCCATATTTGTTGGTTGGTGATATTCGAATTAAATTTGTTACATTGACTAACAAAAAGGAGTGCTGTATCAATTTGAATTGATTCACTTCTAGGGCGTACCCAAAATTTAGCGAAGGTTAAAAACACTTCAGAAAAAATCGTATAGCCTGTTGGAAAGCTAGAAATTGTCAACCCTGGTTTATTTTCATTCAGTCGAGGTCGAGTTCCTTTTTTTTTGCCGATACCTGTATACCCTTTTGTACGTAAACTTATGTAAAATTTTCAGAAAAAGCAACGAAAAAGAGAAATCTTCTCCCCTTTTCGAAATTCTCAAGTGATGGGTTATTTTTGTACTTGGGGATTTCCACTTTTAACAGTAGAAAAAGAACTGTCACATGAGCTGAAGTAGAAACTGTTGCAGTTGAGCCCGCATTGATTTCGACCACTAGGGTGTGGTAAGCTGCACTTTTTCCATTTTCAATATCCGAAGATTATGGCAAAAAATTTTTTTTAGCTGAAAAGAATTTATGCTAGTCGATATCCTCTTCTGCCGTTAAAGATTTCTTTAACAGCAAACGGTTGCGAAGCTTTTTCGCGCCTTTTATGAGAACTATAACATTCAAGGAAGTGAGCGAGGTAATCATTTCTGTTGCAGGTTTGGAAGAAGATGAAAATATACAGCAAATCACTGAGAGCATCCGTAAGCACACTCAAAAAAGAAGAGCTGCCAATGTATGTTAATCACGGAACTTCTTCTCATCCGGACAATTTTTTAGCTTGATTTCTGCTCGCCCTGGAAAAGTAGAGCGCTAGCTCTATGAAAAAATTTATTTTTTTACTTATCATAAATTCTATTCAAAGAAACACATTTAAATAACATATTTAAAGACATACATATGTTAACCTCTAAACGTTCAGAAATAAATTAGAATTTCAAATGTAATTTTAAAGTAAACTTGTTACTTTAGAGACTGGAAACTAATTTTCAAAAATGCACCAATCAGCGCGCGCTATCAGCTGTTTTGACTACCATAATGACGTCGATAAGTAACATTCGATTGCTTACCTTCTTCTCGGTCAAATTGCGGGGAAATCAGCCCATTACTGTTTGAAACTAGCAAGTGACACCAACGAACAAAACATACACAGATGGTATCGTTAACAAGCCTTGGGCTTAAGCTCAAATCGAGAGATTCGCCGCCGGCAAAGGCAGATTCTGATGTAGTTTGCGAGGCGTTGATGATGGAGTTGGAGTGTCAAATCAAAGAGATCGAGAGGATTAACCGAGAAGGGGAAAGAGAAAAGAAGAGAATGGCGAACATAGCGGACTATTCTTGGCTCATATCGACGCCTCAAAAATCGTTTGAAATTCCTCAGATGGAGCGCCTTGCTCTTGAGGAGTTAGCCTCAAAAGTTCGACCCGAGGACAGCGGGAACGTAATTTCCGAGTTCAGAGGTATTGTTGAAGGTATACCGCGAGACGTTAAAGAGATACCCCAAGTTATGCGGTGTATAATCGATAAGCATTTGTTAGAGAGATCGCAACATAGCGAGGAGTCGACATTTCGATGGTTAACGCGTAGCATGTCGCAGTTAAGAACTTTATCGAACCACACATCAGGGAAAGTGTACCCAGCTACAGACGACCTTGAACTTCAAGAACGTCCTGAACCAAGGCGAGTGAAAAGTATGTCTGACTTCTCCCGTTCGAGAGAACTAAATATGTCTGTATAACTGCTTACTTCGATGTTCAATGTTGATAGTATATTGTCGTTCGGTTATCTGTGACTGTTAATGGTGATCCGTAAAATCGTGCCTCTTTTTCGTGTAACCCAATTCTTCAAGGAAGTATTTGATTAACTATTGAGGTAGATTTATTTAAAGAAACATACCTAAACCTACAACAATGCCTTTTGCAAATATTTTGATATAGTGCTGTTGACTGCGATAGGTGCCATTCTTTGATATATTTGTTTTACCTCTTCCATTGGCTCAAAGATTTTTATATCATATCAAAAGGGGATAGAATTGGCAGTGTACATGCATCAAAAATTAAGGTGATCATAAAATTGCTTTTGTGGTGGTAACAAAATTATTTATTTATTACAGGACTGTCTGAGTCATGAGAGTATTGTTATTTATGTTTTAATAGAGTCCTGTGGATGAATATTTTGTTTTTGTAAAGATATCACTATTTACTGGTCAACTTGATTTTTTTCTGTGAAGTCTGGGTCATCTTATTTGTGATAAATTTTGCTTAAACCCTGTAACTCCCAAGATCTGATTGTTAATTCTCCCCTTTAGCTTCTTCACATTTCCTTGTAAATTAGGTATGAGAACTTGGTGCTAGATCAAGATAGCAGCTTCTACCTGATGAGTTTGAATATTCTCATTACCTGTTTCCTGATTAATGTATGGATATTATAGGGAGAAGTTTTGTGTTAATCACTTCTGGGAGTTAAAGGGTTAAGAGTCGTTATGTAAATTCCAATTGATACAGCTCACTGTTTTTACCCCTATATCAGTATGAAAATTCTCCACACTGTTCTCTATACATTTTCTCTGTTACTAATAAGCAGAATTTTTTCAACCACCAAGAGCTTTGTTAGTTGACAGTGAAGTCCCTTTACATTTGCCTCAGGGGTGATACTGCTACAAGAAATATGGTACTTGTCAATCCTAATGGGTTAAAGGGTTAACAGTTAAGGAAATGATTTTCAATTTATATTGTCATATTTGTATTACCTACAAGCAAACACTAGGCAACAAAGATCCATGTATGGGTATTATGTACACTGAATGTTGCTGACACTGATGTAATTATATGCTTATAAATAGCAAATAACTACTTTAAAAAATAAATTTATTGGGTACATGGATGGCTTAATGTTATTTCTTGGGAGATATGTGCTGTCAATGAATTGCAGTAAATCTTAGTTGTAGTTTCATTGATATTTTGTAATGAGCAAATAGAGTTTCATGTGACATTGCCCTCCACTAATTGGTGATTTCCCCAATGTGTACCAGTGTTCTGTGGTTCCATTTTATCTAGGTTTTGCGTCAATTTAATTTTGTTTTCCTTTGCTTTATATTCTATATCTTAATATGAAACAAAGGAAAATGAAAAAAGAAAAGGTTGAAAATTGTTTAACTAAGAAAGAATGTAAATTAAAACATTCAATTTACATAATTACTTTTCTCCAACCACCAATGAATGTTCTTATTACTATAACTGATCAAACATATGTATCAAATCTGTGGAAATTCACAGAACTGCTTCATTTAGTTATGATGGAAAAAGAGGAGCATGGTAGGTTTAATTTTACTGTGTTTTCATAGCCATGCAAACATATGACTGCCTGAATGTCTGATGTAATTTATCAGTTTGGTTGAATATAGTTGTAATATGTTGCTCTTTTTCTTCAACTGGGGAAGGGGGGAGAATGATTGTGAACAGGTTGTCATCATACTTGTCTTACAGGAGCAGCCCAGCCGTTTGTACATCTTGTAAAATGAAGCATAAATTTCTGTAGCTTTTCATGAGTTTCAAACCATGGTTACTGTATCTTTCCAGTCTTCAGCCATCACTGCTATCTTCTCATGTATTCAAACATCATTGGCATCCACTAACAATAGCAAAATAGATCTTGATATGAACTTCACAGTATCAATCTTTAAAACAACTTTAGATATCCCTAGCACAGCTCCTTCAAAATGTTAATGTATTTTTGGTTAGGAACTTTATCAAAGAGAAGTTGTGTACTTGAAATGATATACATTCTTAGTTTCTTTATACATGGATTGGTTAGGAACTTTATCAAAAAGAAGTTGGGTACTTGAAATGAAATACATTCTTAGTTTCTTTATACATGGATTGAGAGTAAGGAGGAATACACCCCTCTTCTAAATTTGCTACACTTTTGTCCCCTTAGTCAATACGTTGAATAGCTCATAGACACTGTCCATTATCATCACATTTGGTTAGGAACTTTATCAAAAAGAAGTTGTGTACTTGAAATGATTACATTCTTAGTTTCTTTATACATGGATTGAGAGTAAGGAGGACTATGCCCCTCTTCTAAATTTGCTACACTTTTGTCCCCTTAGCCAATATGTTGAATAGCTCATAGACACTGTCCATTATCATGACATTGCCCATTCAACAAGTACTATTACCAGTAGTATGTATTTTTCACCCTTTGAATTAATGGCTGTATTGTATTCTCTATCAAAGACTGAATTATTTCAACTGACACTATTCATCCCTTTTATCATTTAGTGTATTTTAAATCAAAGAAGGGTAGTATCTCCATACTTTTTGATGTAGGCTCTCATAACTTTGAAACAAAATTATTATGAACAGTAATTTTGCAGAAGTTATTTCATCACTTTAATTATTGCTGCTTTTACTCTGCTTTTTTACTTTCAGCAATCTACAAGACAAAAACTGCATGGAATCTTTGACATCAATTGTGATTGTTTAGACTTTTTTCTTACTGGGTGGTAAACTTGTAAAATCCTAGACCCAAAAAGTAACATGTTCAGTGTCTATGAAAATAAAAATCATGAATACTGAAAGGTTAATTGGAGATTTACATTGCTTTAAAGTTATCTTGCCTTCAGTAACTTTCAAATGAAAGTCACAAGTAATGCAGGATTGCACTGGTTTTACCTGTCATTGCACTGTGCTTGGTCTTGAAAACTTAAATGCCAGTTTATAAACTGATGAGATATGAAAGAAAAAAACAATGGTGAGTAGGTCATTCATGTTATTTTTGCCATAGGCATACACACTCCACATTCAACTACTCTGGGCTCCCATTGGCTGCTTAACGTATTTTCTGTCTTTTATCCATTTGGTTTAGCCGTACACAGTAGCCAGATGGGAATCACACAAGGTCTTAAAACAAAATGACTCTCTTTTCCATTTTTATTTTACTTGCCTTGCTGGCTTACTTTTGCAGTGACTGCAAAAAAGGAAATGGAATTAATTGCTATGCTTGTTACATTGAAATGATTCAAGCTTAGTTTTCAAGATCAGCTTCATTGTTTTAATTGATGTTCATTTGCATAATCAATTTCAATTTAATTTAGTTCAGCCTACAAAAAAAAATTTGATTAGCCAAATGCATGCAATCTTGAGTCCATAGTTTCCTTCAAGATGGGAAGAAGCATATAATTTGATTTTGGAATGTAAAGAAAAGTAAAACAAAGGTCAATTGTAAATTAATCCACCAGTCTACAAGATGGAGGGAGTAATACAAGTTTTAAATTTTTCACAAATTTTGGCCATGTCATTTATGGCAAATGTAAGGAAGTAACTGTTTAACAAGGGCTTGGAAAGCTGAAAAGGTTCTTTTTATAGACCAAAAACCTGCATGATCTTTATCTCAACTTTGTACCTAACAGAACACTATAAACAACAAAAATCAATAGGGACTGAATTCCAGCCCACCTCCTCTTCCCCCCCTCCCCATTTTACCATGTGTAAGGTTCTCACTGTGATAGTAATTTAAAGTTAAAACATCCCAAAACGGTAAGTTATTAATGCAAGGCTTGAGTTCTAACAGTAGTTTTATTGTTCTTGCACACTACATACTCTGGTTATAAAGACAGTCCATAACAATGACTATACACACTAGTTATCCATGGTATGATTGGAACTTTTACAGCTATCCTAACCAAGCGAGAGGGAACACCTCATTCTGTAAGACGGACAATTTCGTTTTGTCGTTCATCGTGTCGGTTTCTGACTCCATCATAACGCAAATGACGATGAAATATTTTAAGCTGCCAAAACGGTAGGACTTTTCCTTTCTTTGCCCAAGTTCAATGATTAATCTAGTTTGCTTAGCTTTTGAATCAATTTGGAGCCGTACTGAGCACATAATCTTAATACTGAGACGAATAGTTACGAAGGCAAGTGGGATATTAGTTGATGCAAGTAATCCTGAGACCTTATATCCTCCACCTATTTCATTCCTGCCGCTTGACAACAGAGTAAAGTGGTACAATCATTGACGACCTAGATACCTTAATAGTTGATGTGTTTGGATTGGGTGATAAAAAAACTTACTTCGATCACGCGTAGAAATGATCAAGGAAATAATGATCTTACAACTACAATCTTGGACTAGAAACCATAAATAGAATCCACACATACCCTCTCCAATCTTCTTAGGTACTGCGACTTTAAGTTTGATCAAATCTGAAAAACGATACTTCCAAAAAAAAAAAAAGCCGGGAGATACTAACTTTTAATAGACCACTTTTCGATTGAGTTTCGTAAAACCAAAAACAAGTGAATAATTACAAAAGCCAATCGTAAGAATGAAAACACCCTGAAGAGTCAATGAAACTCAGAGTAAAAACAAGCAACCAGCCTAAAGTGCGGCTAAGTCGTGATTAGTGTAAATTATGCATCTGATTGGTTGAGGGAGTGGCACAGCATTCTGGACCAATCACAGAGCAGAGTAAAGCAAAACAATGCATTTTCGGATTATTTTCCTGACGCAGTTGAAAAGTTCTTTAAAAACTTAGCAGTTCACAACACTCGGACAGCCTTGGAAGAATCATCAGTAACATTCATTTCTCATATTTCGTCGCAAACTGAAGGCAGACCATCGGCCAAAACTGTGCAAGGTGTGTCGAGTACCCCACTTGCATCTAAGCCTCCACCAGTCCCACCAACATGATCTCCATTGGTAGAAGACACCGGCCTCCAGGTCAAGAAGCCTTAAGTCAGGTGAAACATCCACGCAGGTATCCCTGTAGGAAGGACAATTTTCATCATACTACACGCTGACTGGAAGACTCCCGCGTATCAAGTGTCCGTCGCCGTACACACCAGCCTTTATAAGCACTACGGATACAGATCCTTGCAAAGCGGCTGTTACTGATGCAGAGGGTGTGACCTGAAATGACAATTAATAAACTTGTAAGAGCTTATTTTTTTCTATTTCTTTTATCTCTTTGTACTATTTCATGAACTATTTATTCTTAACTCGTCTCGTTCATCATCGAGGTCATTACTGACAAAGACAGCGGTTTATTGTTCTACTAATAGGCCGTTTTACCTTCTAAAGCCAACGAAACGAGTAAAAACGCCGTATTATTCCACTGTAGAAAATTTCAAAAATACGAAGAAAAACGGAGCAACAAAATGGCTGCGATGAACATTTGGAACTTTGATTTTTTTCTTTTGGTTTTGGCTTGACTTCCTAAGCAACGAACTTTAAAGCGCGCAGATTTTTTTGGTGGTCATGAAGCGCACTTTTCTTGTTGTTTCCGTCTTTAGTGCACGTCTCATGCGATCGATGTGGTCAGTGCTCAGACAAGCCTGTGGGATACCCTACGAAAAGTAGGAACCAAAATACTGGAAAATGAAATGATAGTGGAAAAATAAGTCCCTTATTCGATTACTCGGCATAAAATATGAGCAGAAATTTTGTTCATTGCTCGTATTTTTCCACGCCCCAACGGCACTCGGAAAATACTATGCAAATCGCAAAATATCCGTACCTATTTTATATTTTAAACCTTCGATTAAGGTGTATTTATTACAATTATAACGTGCGGAAAATCTCAGAACACCAACACCTTCGCTCTCAGCTCAAAACTATAAAAAAAAACAAGGAGGCGCTTTCCTAAAATAATGACTTGTTAGGATAATAAAAGACAGGAACTAACTTTTTGAGAGTGTCCATATTACAGAGACAAAGAAAAACTGCTTTCTTATATTTCATTAAAAGTCATTTGTTTACGTCAGATACTGATAAACAGAAATGCAGGATAAATTTGAATACCCTGACCACAAAATTGAGGCTAAAACAACAAAATCGTTCGATATTCGAATATTAAATTTCTTATTCGATGGTTA